ACGATGGCCTGGTACCCATAAGAGCTGCATTTTTTTCAAGTTTGTCGGTATGAGTTGTCGAAACATGTGCATAAGTGTTAGGTTGGCTCCTGAAGACAGAGCAGCACATACTGAAAAAGAATCTGTAATTACGACTGCTTCCGATTCGCCCAAAGGTAGTTTCCGTAGTGCCAGTGCAATAGCAAATAATTCTGCTATGAATATTGGTGTGTAATCTGGAAGTCTAACCGAAAAGGACCAGTCAAGGGAACGTGAGAAGATACCTGCCCAGCCTTTTCATTTGATACGGATGCTTCAGTCGCATTTATGTTGTTCATGTTCACACGTGCCAAGTAATCCTGCAGCCGATCATTTAAATATTGAAATGGCATTTGCTTTGCGTTAGAGGGATAAATATTCTCAAATTCTATCTTAAGATCTAAATTAACGTTTCTTGTTGAGAAAATTTGAGGAAGAGCTTTATTCGAGGTGAGCTTGAGCTGGCACACACTGATGGTGATATCTACAGATGAGGAAATTATACAAATGATGATGACACGTCCAATTGTGAAAGAAGAGTCGGTGACTGCGCTCACAGTATTTCTAAAAGTGTTTTTTATGATGTGTTAAAGTGCCTGCAAGTCAAAAAGAAATGATCTATTGTTTCAAGTTCACCACAGAACGCGTACAGTGGCGAGAGTGCTTGAGCATACCTGTGTTTATAGAAATTTAGATATGGTGCCCGGCAACGCAGTCTTATGACAGCTACTTCTTGTTCACGAGTGCGGCAAAAGTTTCTTCGCCAGGGATATAATAAATGGCGATATTCGGTAGAGTTTGTTAGGGCTGTACCTCTAAAACTTTCATAAGCGTACGTCTGCGGAATCAAGGAGCAGTCACATAAGTGTATGTTGGACAGAGCGGTAGAATCGGTTCGCTAATTGACGACTTAGCTAAGGAATCAGGTATTTCTCTTAGAAATAGGAATTCATGTGCTCGCACCCAAACTAATCGGAATTTTCTATAAAGCCTTTTATAAACACCCATTGGGTAACTTCTGCCAGCATACTTTCTTGATGCCCACTATAACATTCATAATAAAAATTTTAGGGTAGTAAGCCAGCATTCGCTATACTATTTTTCGTTTTTCTTCTGAGATGCGTGGTATTCCCTGAGCTATTGCGAGAAATTTTGTGCCAGTTGTTCATTCTGTGGCCTACGACGACGAGGAATCATGCCGAAATTTAGTATGTGCCACAGCTAATTGCTGAACAAAAACAAGATTTTGTGAGGGATTAGAGCATTGGACGACCACTCGTTACACTATTAGCATTGTACGATGACTGCTTGTTCTTTCGCTGTTTTAAAATGCTCTAATGGTCATAACAACGCAATTGCTTTTCCCACGTAACAAGTTTTAGGCACCGGCGTGCCTCAGTGGTTTAGTACTGGGCTGCCACTCAGTGAACCCAGGCTCATGCCTCACTATGTCATAAGTACTAGGCTTTTTTTTTCTAATTTCGCGCGATGTGGTTACCGTAAGTGGGTGTTGGGGAGGCGGCGGACAATTAAGGGGCTGCGCGAGACCCGAGTTGGGATTTCATAGCAGCTTTCACTGTAAAACTCAGAACAAACAGTAGAAAATTCGGCGCGCAATAAAATAGCAGTTCTACAAATACACCATTTCTGATAATACATAAGTTTTTAGTTTTACACAAAAAAGAGAAATTAAACCAGGCTATGAAGTAATGCACATATTACTGAAAAGTTTCAAAGAGAGAGATAGAGAAAAAAATACAGCATATCGACGGAGTGCAAGATGATGAGTGGGGCGAAGCGTCCGTAAATCCATCCGTGCTTCCGTCCGTCCATTCGTTCTATCTTTCGTTCATCCATCTGTCCGTCCATGCGTTCGTACGTACGTGTGCCCTTCCGTCCATCCGTCCGTCCGTGTCTCTGTCTGTCGGCCCATGCGTCGTTGCATCCTTTGAGAGGCGGTTACGCCCTACGACAATGGGGGACGCACAATCCATGCCATAAGGAGCTTCGCCTTTAAAACACGCGATCGCAGTCGCACGATCATCTCCCTCTTTCTTTCCTTCTGTTCGTTTGACGTTACTACTGTTTTCGTAAAACTCACCTTTTATTATTATCATTTATACAAGCAACGCCCTCTCGTGTCGGACTATTTGCATTTTTCAGCGTATTCCTTGTGGCGCCTACCCGAGGGAGGTGGTTACTACAAACGAAGATCGGATGATGCCTTAAGGAGGTTCGGCCCTAATATACAACGAAAGACAGGGAGGTTAACCATGCAGATGCGCAACTGGTTTGCTACGTTTCAATGCGGGAAGCTATGAAGGGTTAAAGGTGATAGAAAAGTGAGAAGAAAAATACACATGATCACGAGTACACTTGAGAGAGCATATGCACTTCACAGGTGGTCTCTCAGGTTTGTTGTGTTCAGGTACTGCAAAAGCGCTTTAGTCCCTTTCTGTGCAGACCGACACAAGAGGACACAAACGGCCGAGCAGACCGACACAAGAGGACAGAGCGCTAACTTCCAACTGAGCTTTATTGTCAAATTGCATCAAATAAGTAGACCGGCGCAAGCATACAAAACCACCCTAACGCAACGACAAGATAACACACAACATCACACCGTCACATATCACACATTCATAGGTGGTTACTCTGATTAAGGAAGGCCACTTCATGTTCAGATAAACCCAAAGAAGCGGCGCTAATACACGTGCTGCCAGCTCTTGCTATACAATGCGCTTCTATAATTTCCCGAGTTAATTGCGACGGGTGCTTTTTTATCACTTCACACTGGTCAAACATGGGGGTACATCCACAATCGCGACAGTGAATTCCATTGTGGCCCTGGATTGCTTTGTGAGCATTATAATGGTGCTCTAATGGTATGTGGTATTTCGGCCAAACGGGGCGATGCCTTAATGAAAGGCTAAAAGAGCACCATTATAATGCTCACAAAGCAATCCAGGGCCACATTGGAATTCACTGTCGCGATTGTGGATGTACCCCCATGTTTGACCAGTGTGAAGTGATAAAAAAGCACCCGTCGCAATTAACTCGGGAAATTATAGAAGCGCATTGTATAACAAGAGCTGGCAGCACGTGTATTAGCGCCCGTTCTTTGGGTTTATCTGAACATGAAGTGGCCTTCCTTAATCAGAGTAACCACCTATGAATGTGTGATATGTGACGGTGTGATGTTGTGTGTTATCTTGTCGTTGCGCTAGGGTGGTTTTGTATGCTTGCGCCGGTCTACTTATTTGATGCAATTTGACAATAAAGCTCAGTTGGAAGTTAGCGCTCTGTCCTCTTGTGTCGGTCTGCTCGGCCGTTTCTTCTTCCCCGTAATGCGCTATACCAGTTCAAGCATGTAAGGGACACCTTCGGAAGCTAGCGGACAATAAGAACATTCGAGCAAGATATTGAACCAGCAAATAAAGTTGTCTCACTGCATCAGTACTCGGTAGAGGAATAAAACAACACTGGGTGCTTCACAGACAGAGTGGTTTGCACCATCGGCTAATTGATTGCCAGTAATACGGATATGTTCGGTAGCCACTGATATCTAATATCACGTCCTCTTGCTTGAGTATGATGGTGGCAAAGTCTCATTTTATGCACCAATTGCTCATGAGTCCTCTTGCGCAGGGTAAACTGCAAAACAGTAGTTGCAGTAGTAGTAATTTTTAAGCAGGTTGCTTCATCGGAAGGCCGGAATAATTAAATAATGCAACAAAATTGCCACAAAGGTGCTTAATGATGTTAAAAATGATGGTAGTGGGGAGGCTGACACTCGATTTCATACACCAGCATAGGAAGCAGCTTAGCTGCCAGGCTGTAGCTACGTTGTCAACTAACTTTCACGACATCAAACTACCAAGAGGATAGCGACTACTGAATAAGGCTTTTTTGCAGTGTTCTTTAAACTACCGTCTGCTCGGTGGCGTTATGATGCCGAAAAACTCCTATCTGCAAAGAAAACATTGAGGAATTGTAATCGCCCCACTGTGTGGCTTGTTTTGTTATTCTTTTATCTCCCACATATAGAGGAATGAGCAATGCATTTTATGGCCGCGAACAAATACTTGTAATTTTAAACAGGTGCCGTATTCATCAATTACAGCACCCCTTGCGATACCATGAAGACAGCAGGAAGTTCAACGACACTTTTTTTATTTTCTTTTCATTTGATTGTATTGATGCACGCCCAAAGGTCCAGTGCACCTCACGTTGTTTCTCGCCAACTCCGTGTTGGTAGGCGTTGGGCAACTCACAAGGTTGTGCGTTGCCTTCACAACCAGTCCACGTCTGACCAAGTGACAATGATTTCACCGCGTGACGACGCAAGATAGTGCTTAATGAACGGGGACACGCAAAGCTGGCGCTACCAATGTGGCCCCCTCTATAGCGTATCTGTTTACTTAAAGCAGTTTATCATCGGGACTGCGTACCAGCGAGCCCACATTCAAACAGGGCTGAAATGCATCATGTGATGCCACATCTTGATGATGTAATGATGTCGTCACAAGTTACCTTCTTTTTCGACCTGATCACTATGTCGCAAGGTGACGTTATTACGTGATGACAATTTTTACATCAGTAGTGTTCACACTAACGCCACAGAAGGCGTGGTTGGTGACTCTTGGCGCTTAATGAAGCACCTATGTCCTTCGCCTTAAAATAAAGCGAAACGACTCAACAATTAGAGCCAGGCATTGCTGCTCTAGAGACACTACCACGTCATGCGCGCAACGTAGGAATTTACATGGTCTTCATTTTAAATACCTGTCGACCATTCCCATTGGTAACAACAGGGCAGCCTCGCCTCACACAACTTGCAGACACATTGCATGCTGCCGTGACACCCCCGGCACAGCATCCAGCGCAAGGTCTACGGCAATTATGGCTCGACCGCTTATCAGGTAGGCTGTTAACAACCAGCCTACTGCGTTACACATCCGCGTCACGAGACCCTTGTCATCGCCTGTCCACAGAGGCAGCCCCTACAGGCCTTGCGGCGTCTTACGAAAACGTACGTACTTTTCTACCATGTCCTTACTTTTGCATCATTTACGTTATTTAGGTTTATCTAATAAAATAAATTCAAATGAATAGGTCAAATGAGCTAACTTAGAATTTTGGTGTGATTATTGCGCAATTATCACAGAAAAAACTTGAAGTACACTTGAGCTTCGCATTCAAGAGTAGAATACTATAGCGCAATCGGGCCCCGTGCGTCCCGCCTACTCAAATACCAGCTTTGCTTCGGTTCGCAGTGCATGCCTTATCTATGTTCTATAGAAACGAATAATTGTGCGTGGAAAATTGGGTGTTTCAAGCTGTCATGCAATGCATAGTGCAAGTACAATGAGGTGTTTATTACTCCATCATTGTTTCGTTTGCTACTTTGAAAAAAAGCCCACCACGCGTCCGCGGGGCAACAAGCGAGACTGCGCAGCTACTTTATTTGTCAATCCTTTTGCAGCTTTGATTATACATGCCCCAGCGCATTGCAATTGGTACACCTTCAGAACAATCCAACGCGCTAATTTGCATGTTCTGGCGCGTGGCACCATTGAAGACTTTTGTCACGTAATCAAACTGCGTCAGGGAAACTCTTTCCAGTACATGTCTTTCAAATGATGTTTTTTTTTTTTGTCTTTCGAAGCATTTCGGAACGGTACCGTGGCTTTGTGGCGAAACATCTGCTTTTGGTGCAGAAGGTCAGCGCTCGATTGCCACTCGACTGGAAAATTTTTAATGGGGTAGCGTTAAAGCGCCTGTTTTGCCAAAATCCTAGCGTCGGGCGTCACTGGTTGTGAGCGCAAAGTCATCTTATGCATGACCAAAAAATTGAGAGCGATGCAAATAAAATAAGCAAATAATAAAAAACCTGAAACCGAATAGGGACCGAACAAGGGTTGTTTGGGTTTGCGTGGGAAGCGGATGTTCTTGCACACGGCTGAGCATCTCCTTCGGAAAACAGTGAAAAGAACTTCCTCTGCTTGGAAATGCAGTGAAAGTAGCTTTTATGCATCACAAACACACGCGTCTTGTATACATGCTTCACAATGCAACTTGATATGTTGCAATAATATTGCGTGGTAAAAACGTGTACAGCCAACGAGCCTCAGAATACGTGATTACAATATTGGCCCAGTGGTTAAAAGCGGGTACCCCAATACAAAAGGCACTATGCCTATTCCCTTTGAGCATAGCATATACGAAAATGTTTCATGCACTAAGTGTTTGAAGTATGCGCGAAGAACTGGGTGTTGCTATATCGTTCAACTCTTAAAGGCGAAGCTTTATAGTCCTCTAACGTTTTTTTTTTTACTTTATATGAACAGATGATCTCTTGATTACTGAACTAGACACAAAGAGCGGAAAGGTAGATCTTAAAATTAACCAGCAGAAAGCGAAATAACGTACCACAATCTCAGAAGGACACAGCGCTACAAGATCGGTAGCAGCGCACTTGTAGTTGTAAAAGAGTGCGTCTACTTAGGACAGGTGGTAAAAACGGAGACGAACCTCGAGATTGAAGTAACTAGAAAAATAAGAATGGGGTAGAACACATTCATCAAGCATTCTGACATGATGACTGGCAGATTAAAAATATCTCTTAAGAGGAAAGTAGATAACTGCTGCACCTTGCCGGTGCTTACCTACGGAGCAGAAATCTGGAGGATTACAAAGAGGGTTCAACTTAAGTTGAGGACGACGCAGCAAGTAATGGAATAGGAGTGATAGGCGTAACCCTAAGGACAAGAAGATAGCAGAGTGTATCAGGGAGCAGCCGGGTATTAAGGACATCATAGTCAAAAAATGGGGAAGAAATGGTCACGGGCAGGGTACGTGCGTGGTGCCAGGATAACGGCTGGTCATTAAGAGTAACTGACTGGATTCCAAGAGAAGGCAAGCGGGTTAGGGGTAGACGGAAAGTAAAGTGGGCAGATGAGATTAGGAAGTTTGCGGGTGTAACTGACACCAGAACTTTTGATAAACTAGCAGTATTAAGCTATCACGGTAAAATACCACGTGCATGCATGTGATGTTCTCGAATGTACGTATTTTGCATACGATACTTCAGAAGGAGAAGGTGAAGCAAGAAACAAAAATTTATGATATTGCAATGCGCGCCACATAGACGACTCCTATGCTCGAAGTGACTAACCCCCGAATGCAGAGATGTTACTTGGCTCACGACTTCAACTTAACTTGAGCAAGTCGGCGTGAAGCAAGCAGCGGACTTCAAAACGCCCAAGTCAGCCTTCGCGTTTCACAGATGTTCAGGCTGTCTTGCTTAGTCTAGTCAAGAACGAGCTTCAAAGCAGAAACACGTTGCTCGCCTGCTCACGAGGGCAATAATGAAGTTGTTTGCGTAAGGCATGCATTACATCAAAAAAAGACCGTACGTTTTAAAATAACTATAAAAACGAAGGGCCACAAGCATATTTCTGCCATTTTACGGCTAACGAGCGGCACATGGCGCCTGCCGTCACAGCGATGTGCAGTGTTGCTTCTGTAAAGCGTTCGTTGCCCGCTGGTTTCAGTGGCCGCCCAAATGCGGCGCGTTTCTCCACGGTTGCTTGTTTGGAGGCGAAGCAAGCATCGCGTTGGGTTCTTTCGCCTTTTTTTTTTTCAATTGAAAGCCACGGCATGTATTTGTGCTGACCTGGTTCATAAGGTCACACAATTTTCATGGTATTTGCCTTTCTGTTCGCCTGTGTGCATGTCTATAGTGGGCTAGGTCGCAGTCATATATGAAAAAAAAACAAGTTCTTGAAACAAATGTGATTCGTATCCTTTTGTTGAGCTTGGTGAACAAGAAAAAAAGCGGGGGTCAGGACATTGCCCTCAGCAGAATTCTGTCTCGCGGGGTGCAGGAGTGTCTCGCTGCATGATGGTGAAGCGGATAAAAAAACCAGTGATAAGTGCACCTCTTCTTTATGTGTGTGGAATTCTACGTAGCGTTGTGCTACAAGCGATGCTATCTGAGCGAGAAACAGTGCCCTAGACGGGACGAAAGGATAGACCAGGCACACAGACACAGCACCGAGTCAATTTTGTACCGAAATAGGCGGAAATTGTCGTTGTGTTTAAGAAAAACAGAAATGGCCTTTGCGCTTACGGAACACTTCGGAGTAGTCCCCACCGAAGCAATTAATATGCACGTGTGTGTAGTCGACACAGCCTGTAACACCAGGGAACTCAGCCACTTCATAAAAGTCCCGCATAACTATAGAAAGTGCTGCCGGCTGCGGAAAGCGCACCAGCATTGCATACAGGTGCTTTGCGATGACTAGCGTAACTTTTCCTACTGCATGGCAAACTGTCGACTACGGAATGCGGACGAAATTTCCGGTGACTGTTTGGAATGTACCAGCGCCGTAAAACCCAAGAGCCATCAGTAGCTGTAACATTGGGGGCACAGGCTGTCCTCGGTTTTACCCACTTTCACGGAGCGGCAACATACCCAGCAGCTGCCGCACGACATTCTTCGTGAATCTGTATCGAGCGTGGAATTGTTCCCCGTCGTACAACTCCATCGGATTTCCTCGGTCACGTAAAGCGGGTCCAAGATTCTTCGGCAGGCAGTGCGCCTCGAAAAATGCTACGCTTATGGCGAGGCAAGCAAACTCAAAAGCGGCCACACTCTGCGCTACGTCCATTCGAGAGGTGGCCATGTTAGAATAACGCACGAAGTCGCTTTTAAGCTAGCCCCGCAGCTGACTTGGAACTTGTCATGACTTCGACCGAGCCAAGTTTCGTTCAAGTCATCTGCAAGTTCGAGAACGATTTATGGTGACCGGCAAGACTGTCTTGAGTCAAGAACGAGTCAAGTACGAGTCAAGTAATATCTCTGCATTCGGGGGTAAGCGTCGAACTTCTGCGACTGCGCGATGAACAAGAACAAGAAATCTACTTCTGTATTCACTGTATTTCCCTCCAGAGGATCATTAAACAATAGGAGCGTATATCTCGTATACAAAGGGTATGGTTCCGCCGAGGCGGTTCATGACAGAGAGAAACAGACCTAGCGGTTATCGCTTGTGTGGCCCTCTTCGCGCAGCCACCACCATCGCCACCGCTTTGACGAAATAGCACACACGGTCAATTCTACGGTCGTTCGCACTCTAAACATTAGGCAACACTGGAACTGCGCTTGCAGTGGCGCACAAGTGGGCACGTGGAGTTGTTCTTCTTTTATTTTGCGGGAGTATAAAGTAAGCAGCAAGAAAACTAATGCTTTATGCCTCATGCGTTACGCCTAATAAAGTCAGAACATCCCAATAAAATATTTTCAAACCAATCTACAACTTTCTCACTGAATTATTTTGCCAAGATTTGTTGCTTCAAAAGTAGTATTTTCAATCCTGCCCCATAAGGCTAATAAACGGAACAAATTGTTATATATAACGGGAATGTTACAAGCAAAAATACTGTGACACACTGAATGCTACAGCCAGCGACATTATTTTGGCCCGTCTTCGTAGAGGGCGTAGGCATATAATCTTTAGGCTCGGGCACCATGAATATGAGCACAGCCTATAGCTACACTGCTCAATAGAACATCACCGACTTGAGCCTCTCGACGTCACCGTCTTCAAAAACACTCGTCAACGATATGATGAACATCACTGACACACGTGATTGCTGCTGTGGTGTGACATATACACTACACCAACCGAACAAATGCAACCGCGTCCTATTTTTGACAAAACAATGAACGATTTGATTAGATGAGTATATGAGTGCCATTTTTTTTTACAAAACGTGACCTGCCTGCGCTTGAGCGTACAAACTCTTTGATGTTAAGCACGCAAACCATTACCTGCTTTGATAATATTCACTGCGAAACTGGGCATCATGCTCCGCGTTTACGTTCTTGTCTGTTACTATGTCTCCGTACACTCATTCTTTCTTGTGCGAGCTCCCGCATGCTATTCTTAGGCAAAAAAATTGGCACAGCGAAGAGTGGCCGTAACTAAAAGTAATGATGTTCACCCGGACGACGAGGCACGCAAAAGGGGGCTGATTAGAGTGCTCTGCAAAGGAGTATTCGTGCATTGAATTGTTTTGCGTGACTGTTATTATGCTACAGAAGCGTGCGATGAGTTCTGCTCACTTCAATGCTCTATAGCGATGACAGTTGGAACGCCGCTATACTTTAGGTTTTCTTTGACTATTCAAGCAACAGGTGTCGTAATCATAACGTTTATCTGTTGTGACGAGTTTTAGCTGCATGTACTGCATGGTTGTGTAGGCGTATTCGCCAGGTGCAAAATTGCACTCACTACGAAAGCTTAATGAACTTTTTCTTACTACATTGCCTTATGCTTAAATAAATGCAGCTGACAATTTTTCTGACGAAGGCATAGGAGAGCGTGCTTGCTGCTTTGAACTGTTGTGTGGTAATATAGCATGCGTTCAAATGAAGCAAAGTGGACGAAAAACAACGTTCAAGCTAATGAGCGCACGCGCCAGGGAGAGGTTGTGTGTTGTTTTTCGCTCATTTTGATTCATTTCAACATATATATAGAAAACTGCATTGCAGCAACGAACATTATCCCCTAGTGCATTTCCTCACTTGACAATCCGTTAGACTGATTCACTTAAGAAAAACTGCGATTCGGCCTAATTGGAACATATTCATCTTAAAATTTTCGAGAAAGCACGCAGGGACACAAAAAGAAAGACAAACGGGCGCAACTGGGTTCCCATTTGTCTTGCTTTCTGTGTCCCTGTGGGCTTGCGCGAAAAATTTAGGACTGACTAACTTGTTTTTAACTGGTGTCTCAACCAAGAATTTCTATTTCTCCGTTATTTGAGACTTGATTTCTTTAGGGAACATGCGAGGATTTATTGCTCAGCTGCCAAGATCGAGAAACAACCCCCCAAAAATTATTATTATTATTATTTACCATTCGTACTTTTACAGTTTTACATCCCAAAACCAACATATAATTGTAAGAGACCTCGTGGTGGAGGGCTCCGCAAGTTTCGACCACTAGTATTATTTAACACGCAATGACTACGCACAGCACACGGACCTCAACTATTTTGTCTCCACCAAAATGCCGCCAACCTGGCCGGAATTGAACGCAGAACCTCCGGGTGAGCAGCCCAGCACTCTAACCATTGGTGCACCTTGGCGGACCATGAAATCTTCACGTTCCTCGTACAGCAAAAACAATAGCAAATGAGAGTGAATGGCGAAAGAGAGTGTGGTGTTGAGGGCGGTGGGATAGCATACGAATCTCATTTCTTAAGACCTGCTGGTAAGAGTGAAAGTAAAGAAAAAGATACTAGTCAATAACGGTTCCAACGACTGAGCAAGCCGATAACTCCGGAAGCTTTCTATGAATACCTAGGCCAGCATTCTTGGAACACCACGCTCTATAATGTTGTTGCTGCTCGCGTTTCCTCAAACAACAAAAAAGCCACTCACTTTGTACACCCACGTCCGTTTGCTTTGATACTTGCATGGGCGTTGTGAAAGGCAGTGTTCGGAATCACAGTGCGATATATGTGCAGGTTTGGCCGTGTTCGAAGACAGCATGCTTGTAAACTTTAGTGCCTACATAGCATAATGATCCGATAGCTCTACGGATATTCGTTAAAACTTTTTGATCCGTGCTACGGATCACTTTTCAAGCAAAACGGTTAATTTTTCCATATCAGCCCTAAAAAGACTGAACTTTCCCAATTCAGTTAACGACGTTTGCTCACACCTGTGTGTTGAATATTGTTACGGAGAGATCTGAGATGAAGACGCTGGAGACGAAGGTGAAGAGAATTTGGCTGGTGCGCACACACGCACACTGTGGCGTTACTGCACGCCAAAGTGACCGTCATCGAAGATAGCGGTGTGTGCCTGCCCTCCCCCTCGCCTCCCTCGAACATTAGGTTAGAATATCTGGAAACGAAGAGGTGGTCGCCGCCGCTAAGGCAGCACACTACTGCGAACTATCACCAAAGCGGTAGCCCAGTCAAACTGCTCCCGGAAATGACTGCACATTCCTACAACGGGCCACCCTGGCATTCGGGTGGCATGCGGCAAGCCCCCGTAATCCGTTCCCGAGACCAGCTTGTACAAGTGCGAGCGTCGGTTGTTGGGTCGCCTGCGTACCGGCAGCGCCTGACCTGCGGCACTGATGTATTCCGCAAGTCGCTCTTCATCACCCGAATGCCGAAGATGCGACGACGACGAAATGCTCCAGCATATTATTTGCTCCTGTCCTGACCTGGTTACAGAGCGCTGCGTGCTGGTGAGGCGTGATCGCTTCCTAAGTCGTCTGGGACAACAGTGTATGACATCCTTTTTGTCGCGCGCTTGAAGACGCAAGCCCTCTGAGCCTTCCTCGAGTTCTGTGCGTCTGTGGACCTTGCCACCTTATAGACGAACGCTTTCACTTCGTTCTACTGACTGTACTGACAAGACGTTCTCTTGCCATGTCTTTCCCTTTTTCTTTCCCTCCTTGCATCGTATCATCTTTACTTTTTTTTCCACCCAGCCCTAAAGGCACTGAGCCGTGCACCCTCTCCGATAGGCAGAAAATAGCATCCTTTTTATCTCTTACTCTTTTATTAAGCTCTCTCTCACATGAACTATTTTTTTTTCATTCGCAATACAATTGTCGCTGGATAACGAGAAGTTTTATTACCACCCGTATTTCGTATCCTCATTTCCCCTTAGTTTTTGAATGCACGTGAACAATATCAGCACTAAACATTGTAGCCTATCAGGATTTCGCGCTTCTTTGCTGCACGCTATTATCGCCGGTTGGGCAGTTGTAGACACAGAAGATGGAGCTTGATCGGTTGATTGTGCAGGATATTCATGTGAGACAAATAAGAACAAATGGACGGCTGTATGGCAAAGTAGTGCTGGAGCAAATCACGAGTGATAATTTGCATATATTGCTCTTTCGTTATTCGTATTTTAGCTTTTTTACTGTATTAACATAGGAGGTCCCGCTTGCGCTTTACTACCTTGGGACCTCCTCCTGCATACTTACTCACAAAGTACATTTTTGATGCTAATAAAAAAACATTGATTGATTGATTGATTGATTGGTTGATTGAAATTGAGAGCATGTACTCTGTAGCTGTCATAGGAACTACTGTCTGCGCCCCAGTAGTGCGCCCAGATGGACGAGCAATATCAGAAAAGAATCTTGCGTTCTTTTTTTTTTAATTTGGAAGCCTCGTTAGCGGTTCTTTCATGCGGCAGCAACACCACGAACATACGACGCATTGGTGAGACTGATTGCGTAGTCACCCGTAACAGCAAGCAGCCCCTACCCAATCTTATGCTGTTGCACAAGGCACTACAGTAATGCGGAGAAAGCAACTTAGGAAGTGCTTGTTCACACGATTGATAAAAACCTCAATATCTTAGAGGCCGTGTTGCTTTTATTTTCTTATCGCGGTGTTGCGAGGGCTGTTTTTACAGCGGTTTGTTCAAAACTGAAGACTCTCATGGACACTGAACAGTTGCCGCGTCCTCGAAAATCCGGCATGTTGAGCTTGCCAGCCCTAGCTCGTTCGCCAAAGTTGTACACCCTTCCTTTTTTGGTCCTCGCATTGGGGCCTCCAAGATTGGCATGCACAAACAAGGAGGATAGCACACACCCCTGGTGGCTAATCCTGACCACGGCATGAGCTCGTGTTCCTGGCAAAGTGGCAGCGCAGTTGGAATGTTGGGGTTTGGGCTGCCGTGGCCGCTCGTGATTGCCATGTCTTCCGCAGCAGCGTGCGGCGCACCTGTTCGAACCTGCATGGTAGCTTAGAAGTGTGGCAGTTTGGGCTAGTTGGTATGACTCGATGGTAGTAATAGTGCGAGAACAGAACGTTGACAAAGTCTCCTTCTTGTCCTTTTGTCGTCGTTCTGTTTTCAGGCTATAACTGCCGTCATGCATGGTAGCGTACCTTCGTATCGAACGTGATGGGTGAAAAATGGTGCGCAACAACTGTACTTCTTTACAATACAGCCTAATGGGCTTTAGACCTAACCCCAGAAAAATTAGTATCACCCCAAAATTCATAAGCCGTGATCATATCAACGAGGTTCTTGTATATTTCGCCTAGCTACGACAACCTTGTAACGCATTAGTGCAGGTGCTCTGAATTGTTAGCGGTACATTTCGAGGCAGCTTCAATGCATGCTACGCATAGGGGTTCCTTTTGCGCTCTACCTCTGATTGGCAAACAGTGTATCAAAGCAGACGCCGCTCACAATAAATGGGGAACGTGATCAAAAGCTGCTAAAACGAGGAGGCACCGTGCATGACGTGAAAGTGATGTGTGTATTGTCTCGCAGCCTTAGTAAGTACTACAATATCGATCTACATTTTAGGGTGCCATCGGAAGACGAACGCAGAGCCAGTCAGTCAAACATGGCAGTCAAGGCAGCAGCAGCCCCGCGGGGCGTGGACCAGTGCTGGTACGTGGCTATCATCTGCGCCATGACCACATTCCTCACTTCCGCCACCATACGGTCATCGGGCTTCCTTTACATCGGAATCATGAGAGAATTCCAAGCAGACCGTGGCCAAGCAGCTTGGCCTATTTGCCTCATGGGAGCCATGGCCAATATGGCTGGTGAGGGATCTGAAATGTGTCTTTTCGAATATACAATGTGGCAAGTGAATGATGGTGTGCAGTTAAAAATACACAATGTTTAAATGTACCTAAACCACCATATATCCCGACAATTTGCCTACTTCTCAGGAGGAATAAACGTTATATGGGGGCTATGTAAAAGTACGTTTTAGCCAATTGAAGATAAAAATGATCTTGGTTTGATGCTGTGACGCAAGTGGAAGGCGCTGCACCACTGGCCTCCACGATAGTGTCGTCTTCCGTACGCTCGGTTGCATGCAAGCACACTTCTTCAAGAAAGTTGGGCATCACCGGGGATGACTTCCATGGGAAAACTACACTGGCAAAAACATTGTTTGGTGGGGACACATTTATATAGACTTTTTCCACCAAAATGGAGAAGACTGACTCAGGGATAAACAGCGGCGTCCTTTAAAGTCATACCAGAGCTTATTCTGTGAAAACAGACGTGGACAAGAAGGGTGTTCAGGACAACAGGTGACGAACACATTTTGAAAGTATTTCGCTGTTCAGTGCAAAATCATCGTGGTGTAATACCCAAAAGAGATACCCAGCTTTCTACGGCTCAAGCACTCTGTCATATGCTCGTTCTTTGGCTAAAATAGAGTTTTTTGTGATGGAGGTGACTAACGAGAAGATATAGAGAGAGGGCACCGTCTGGACGAGTGATCCTTTGTCTAAAACGTTATGTACAGTGCTAAACACAATGTCACCATCTAAATGGGACTGCAAGTACGAGTTTAAAACTCATGACCTTCAGAAAAAATGACACAGACCATTTGAAAACAGTATTTTGTCGCTTACAACGCCTTTTCCCGGCGGGCTCTTAATGAAACGCGTGGAGAAGCATCTGCGACTACGGGTTGTGCCGCAGCGAGTAGAACAGACCGTAAACCAATTCAAGAACGACACTATATGAGCATTGCAGGAGCGTTGTGCTACCAGTCAGCACTGCCACCGAATAGCCTTTCTTTTATTCAACGGCCGCGCGATAATCTCTTGCACTGCTCCTATGAAGTGCACGTCTGCTTACCTAATTATGTTGGCATCAGCATTCCGCCACTCGCTGATGCTGTTCATAGTGTTCATGGTAAAATAAAGCTGCAATAGTGAATGATCCGCAATCAGGTTATACCTTCTTGATAGTTATCTTTCTAGACTAGTCTATGGATGACGTATGACTCTATTTTATTTATGCAGGACTCGTGGCTGGGCCACTCAGCCAGAAATACACACCGCCACCGGTCATGTTGGCCGGTAGCATAATAATGGCTGGAGGAATCATTGCTTCAAGTTTCGCACCGAGCATAATATGGATGGCTGTGACTCAGGGAATAGTTTTTGGTAAGAATTCAAACGACTCGCACTCTTAATAGGGATGCGCGGAACAGTCACTGTCAGAATCTGTTATTTCAGAATATATTCATTGAATTGAGAAGCTAGTAGGTTTCCGATCCGTAGCATAACTTTTAATTCCCTATTGTTGATTTGGGCGCGTATAAATATGGTGGAATAGAGATTTTTAGCGAAGATATATAAACAATCGCAATGCATTTGTCTTTCATTGGAGTGTTCTAAATGAGTTCTCCTTACGGAAGTTATCTTTGACTGCTTTTATGCTGCTTAACTATTGGACACTACAGGTGCATCAAGCAATTCGTTACACCTTTAAGTGCTGCTCGCGGTACAGCTCACAGTGTTACTCGGGTTTCCCGCACATGCACCTTTTTATTAGAGGCAACTACTTGTACAGTCTTTGTCAAATAATACAAGGTGCCCGAGATACAGTGTTGACCAACTGTGGTGCCAACTCGTTGTAACCCTAGGTGCGGAAGACAGTGTTTTACCATTAAATGAGCAGTGATCGAAAAACTTTTACACATCAACCTCACATTGGAGCGAAGCGCCAGAGCGGACCATTGCGCTTCATGTCAAGTGCGCACAAGCTATGAATAGTGTTGCAACGCTTGTGAGAAATGCTTTTGTGGTGGTGAAAATACGGGAGGCTGGTCACAGCATTTTTCAGGAGGCATACCAGTCTTATACAATGTCTATTATAAGTATCATTGGCATAGATTGAACGTGGGGATCACATGATAATTTACATGAATGAAGGCAACGTCCACAAACAAACGAGTTTTGTTCGCGAAACGTTTCCAGCAGTTTTATTCTCGCTTACTGCTAACTGCTCCTACACAGCAGTATAGCTCACATACACACGACCACAATTATAGCAACCAGGAGATCTCTTATGAACTCGATGAGTAAACATGCCCAACGCAGAAACATTCTGGAAGCAGTGAAAAAGAAAATTACATCTATTTAGCCCGCACAGAAGTCTCGATTAGGAGAAGTGATCGCGTAAGCTTGTTGTTTGTTTTACTCCTGAAGCGTCGATTCCGAGGAATAACCCACACTCTACTAGTGACACTGAGCAGACAAAAATTAGGAAGAACCAAATGCTGGAAAATGATTTATTGTATGAGCTGTCCTTACAATGCACGAAAGATATCAAGACATCAAAACATTTTGCCTCAGCCAATTAAAAACACGAGATCTCATTGGCTGTGGGTTATCGAGAGTATATTAAGGTGTTGGAAAAGTGTATGCTTAAGAAATAACGCTTTAGGCTTCACAGCTGACCTATACAGAACGAAAACAAATTCTAACACAAGATTGAAAACAAAGCTGTTTACAGTAATTCATTATTCATATCCAAAGCTATTTTCAAAGCTATTATCAAAGCAATTATTCATATCCAAAGCTATTTAAGTGACAATAATGATTCATTCGGGCCTTCAAGCGCCTCTTTAGCTTGTAGAGGACATACCCGGTGGCCTGCAGACATGCTATGAGCTATATGCGAAATCTGCCAATCGTGTGCGTTTAGTGTTGTTTAAACGCGAAAAGCATTGTTGCCATTTGTCAAGCTCTCTTTTTCAAAACGAGATTTATGCTCACCCCTGACCGGGTATCTTGAGCATGGTGTTGAACACCAGAAAATTGAGAGCACTCTAATAACCAGCAGCTGATATCATTTGAGAGCGGAGTTTGCATTAGAGGTGCTTCTTGCCACAGGGTGCGGTCACGTGGTGCCACTGCCACCACGTTTTATAATAATGTAACATTACACAGTAGGTGCACTCACACATGCAAATCGAAGGATAAGGGAACATTTGCGCTTGGTAACTTACGCTCGCGGTGATGACGCTTGCTGACGTAGCTTCTTTTCCTCGAGACATCCCTCTTTAGTGTATGATAGATCACGCTCGCCCAGACGACATAAAAGAGGAATTGCTTAAAGCGCACAACAGATCCCAGCAATTCCTTTACGGCTCGATGGCTTCGAGAAACTGCCGCGGCAGTCAATTGGGGAGTCAGTAACTACAACAATAAATGACACAATGATTACAGCAACACTGTTGCGTAAAAGTGCTTTCTTAACGTGCGCTAATGTTTCAGAATTATTGATGAAAAGGAGAGCGTACTTACTTCCCAAAATAATTGGTAGAGGCTGATTTGGTTTAATTTAGGAGAACATTAAAGAAACGCAGCTGGTTGAAAATCCCACAATTATCCATTACAGCGATGCACAAGCACACCGTAGTTTGATAGCGAAAAACCTACAAAATTACCTTACGGTTCGTCATGCACTTACTACGATCGTTTTATTTGCAATCTTTACTTTAAGTCCACCCCCAATCTGACAACTTGTAATTTTCTGATAACCGAAACTAATAGGTAACAATGCGTATTTATGCGTTTTCGCTAGCTCATTTTCTACATGTTATCTTTTATTGTAGCATCTAACCTTTAGAATGCTTCACATTAAACCCATATGAATATGATATGTAAACAAGTGCGCGAGCGTATCGATCCTGCTTATATACATGGTTTAAAAAAGTAAGCGTAAGTGCAGCTCAAATGAAAGAAATCGAAATTGCGAAAATATACAATAAAACCCAAAATATTCGTGCACGTACCTCTGCTTTTCGTCATGATGATACGCAATCATCTAACGCAATCATCATACGCAATCATCATAAACAACCCCAAGCAGTTTCGTAGTTTTTTCAGTTGGACATGTTACCGATGTGAATCCATTTATTTACACATGTGCTTAGTTGCATGTTGCCGTTTCGTAAGGTTTCGATGCTTTAACACGCATCGTGTGTAGCGGTAGAAATTAGTGTTACATTGCGTTGTCGTCCGAGCTCATAAGTAGTGTAAATGTCAGCTAGGAGACGTTGCATAGTTCATTAGCCCGACCAACCGTGCTGCATCAATGTGCTGCTGTTTCGGTCATGCATTCTAAGAATAACCACAACACCTTCCTTTTTTTATTGATACGTTATATAAGGAGATATTAGCGCACAAGGTGCCGGCCTACTCCTAAGCATTTGAGTGAAAGTTGAACAAATGTCTTGAAGTAAAAATAACGAGCAGTACTCGGGAAATAAAAGAGCCGAGCACGCATAAGCAAAAACACTCTCATACGCGCATATCAAAAGCTGACAGAAAGATAAGAAAATGTTTGAAAGTAAAAAAAAAAACTATGTATGTCATACTATTTCTAGTTAACATTCAATCCAACTGGCACAATGTAGTAGCAACCTCATGTGGTCCTTATGAACATGTGTATAATACTGCGCATGATATGTATGTCATATGTTACACAAATTAACGTTTGTTATTTACTAGCACTTGAAAGTGATTCCGCCATCTTTAAAAATTGTTTTAACGCTTTTAATGACTAAGTTTCTAACGCAATCCTTGATTGAATTTCGAGAACTTATCTCATCAAGAGCTCGCAGTGAGCATGAATTTGAAAGTCTACTAAGTAATCCCTGTATGACTGTTGAATTCAGACATTATACAAAGTTAGCACATTTAGGCCAATTTTCTATCAGCTGCTGTGTGAGGCACCTGTACTCTCACGTGCGACTGCAGTTTCAAGCGCCGTGAGTGAAGCATAAGAGAGAGAGAGATAGAGATATGTTATGAAGAAAAACAGAGAGGTTAACCGGTGAACAAGTACTTGGTCTGCTACCATGCACTGGGAAAGGTAAAATAGGTGACAGAAAAGTAAAGAAAATGAAATGAGAGAGAGATATATATAGAGAGAGAAAAAATAGAGAGAGAGTGCCGGACGGAAGCGCGAACACCACGCACTAGAACGTCACAATCATTTGACGAAGCGGGTTGGTGGCAGAAACTTCAATGGGGCCTTCATCGCACTTCGGCATGAAGCTCAATCTTTCCGGCATTCTAAAATAATATTTTGGAAAGTGGCTTGTTTTCGAGGCCTGCAAACGCTTCTGACAGGGACTGTCTCTAAAACATGTATATGATAGCGCATTAAAAATATGTAAACGGGTTATGATATCACTAAGCAACAGCTGTTGCAATTGCAATCGCAAAAACATCAAAATGAACTAGATTACGGAAGTCTTGTGCTTCATCTGCATATTATCTGCTTGTTTGCTTAATATTCTTGGGTACTGCTAGTTAGCTCGAACGTTTACAGCACTCCGAAGGTAAGCCGCATGTTTTGACTGAAATGAAAAACACATATTCGAAATTTGACGTTTCCCATCGTGTCTGGCTAATTCTTCAAAAAAAAAAAAATAGGCCGTATACCAGCCGCTTTGGATATACAGCCTTACTTTCATGCCCTATCCAGATAGGTGTCCTTTTCTGCCACTCTTCTCAGTTTTCTTAGTTTAACATGTAAACGCCCAATGATGCTCTGTCAAATGTACAGTCTTCACTCACGCATGGCGACATATATTCGTTTCCTTTGATGTCGTCAGCACAATAAGAAAGAGAAGCAGCCTGCCATTGGTCTTGCAATCACCCTTGGGCAAACGCATGCTCATACAACGTATATTTGATTTGCATGTTCTCAAGGCATAGGATCAGGCCTGGTGTTCATGACTCTTCCGGTCTTCATCAACCAGTACTTCGACAAGTACAGGGGCTTCGCACTCGGCATCACTTACACTGGCTCCACGAGCTCTGCCTTTGTGTTTCCACGGTTGTTGCTGTACCTAGAGAAGACGTACAACTTCCGGAGCAGCATGATGATTTTCGGTGCTATTGTCGGTCACGTGATCCCCATTAGCCTCCTCCTGAAAGAGCCGCCGTGGATTCGCCGCAAACGTGTTGAGGACAAACTGGCTTCCAAGCATGCCAAAGAAGTGTTTACAATTGAGAAAAAAGCCATAGGAGAGCAATCGAACAGCACCCAGAACGGCGTGCTTCCGAGTGACACAGATAACGTTAACGCGAAAGAGAAAGCAAAAAGACACGTTAATCCTTGGAGCCTCCGACATGGATTCACGGTGCTCAAGAGTCCCATGTTTTACGTGGTGATGTTGACGTATATCTTGTTTGGTTACAACTTTGACGTGTTCATGGCCACGATCGTTGACTTTGCCATCGACAGGGGCACGTCGTTGGAAGCAGCCGTGGGACTTATACCACTTTTCTCCATGACTGACACGTTCGGACGCCTGTGCATTCCTCTGCTGGCTGACAGGGGGTACGTGACGCGCAGTACTCTGGCCATGTTCGCCTACCTGTGGTTGGCTATAGTGCTTCAAGTGTTTCCACTTGTGTGTGACTACTACCAGCTCCTGGCCGCCTGTCTGTGCCTCGCTATGGCGAATGGGTGCAGCGTCACCATGTATCCGACTCTTATGGCTGACTACATGGGCATTCAGAGGCTTCCCATCAGCTATGGTATCGTCGGTACGGTTGCCGGTCCGTTGTTTATCATGAAGCCACTTTTTATAGGTAGGTATATTTGTGTTTGGTAATGTACTTCGTTGACTAAACATTTTCCATAACAAGGAAGAAAACGTTTTAATGAACCCGACTACTACTTCTAGAACCCTTAACAAAATTCGCCTTGATTACATAGAACAGGAGTGAATAATGAAAATATTTTATTATAGTCTTCCAAATCATTCCCCGGAATCGGTCATCCTCGCACTGGCAGGTTTCTTGACCGCATAATTTGATCTTGAACTCTAGGGTCTTCACTGTGTGTCATACTTTATTACCATGTAGGAATTACATTTGTACTATCATTCGAACATGTAATGTAGAGATTCACTGCTACCTTTTTCTCGCTCTTTTTTTTCTTTACAAATGCAGCAAATGAACGAAAGTTACGCCAGCTAAATCATAATCGCATATTGGTTCGAGCACACTATTTTACGCGACGAGAAAAAAGGACGTTAACAAATAAGTGAAATTTTAGAATCTCTAAGGGTACCAAGGTTCATGTAGATCTTGCAAAAAGTGACTAATCTTTCTTCCATGAATTTTAACTCAACTTATCAGCAGTCTATAGAGTGTACTCACTTAAAACGTGAAAGAACACTGCAAGAAAATCTGCATAAGAACGACTGATGCCGCTGTTCATTTACGGGATAAAAATTTCATACTAGGCAATCATTTGCATGGTCCTTGATTAAACAAGCGCAGCAACTAGTGGCGATTCAGAGTTCTGAAAACTTTCTTACGCAAAAAAATTTTCAATTTACTGAATGAGCTTCTATGTTTAGCTCTTTTTAGCAGTTGACTACTTTAATATTATATTTGAAAACACTGACCACTCCATCTAGAACTAGTACGGCTTACGCCGGACTTTGGTAGTTTTTTCTCGCTTTGTCGATTGTAGTGAACTTGTTCAGACGATGCAAAACGAACGCTTCCAATTTATCGAGTTAACAGCATTGCGTTCACCTTCATCGAAAAATGTAACTTTCCTTTTCAACTAGGTCGTTGAGAGCTTTGACGCGCACTTCACAATATAAAAGGGGCATATGAAGTAGGCGTGAGATATGCAGGTATGGGGCATAAATTGATGACCTAAGGGCTGTCAATTTTTTTCCGTGTATGTTTTTACGCATCAAGGAGTTTCGTAGTGCATTTAAATGCATAGGCTAAACAACAGAATCTTTTTCTCACGCTTCCACATCCATCTTTTCATTTTGCTCAAACGTGTTTGAGAAAATTTCTACATTTAATGGGGCCACATTAATTTCAACTGCTACGTGGAGCGAACTAAAACATCTAGAACTTAAATATTCATATTTTCATTGAGAACGTAGTTCATTGTACTTAAGTATACAGACATCAGTATTCTTCTCAATATGCCAGCTAGTGGATAACTTTATCTAAGCTTAGTTTTGAGTATCGATTCACTGACCTAAAATTCATTCAGGTTACGCCGACTTCACTTTGTATGCTTAGCAAAGAAGAGCCCCATCTAAGATCTCAATAATATTCCAAGATACCGTGAAATAAACTTTTTGGAGAATTTAATAATAACTCTTTGTTAGCTTGCTGTTTTGCACAAGTTTTAGCCCGAATATCACTTTACGACTTGCGGTAGCGAAAGTTGTTTTGCAAAAAGCAAACTTTCCTCAGTGTCCGTACAAAAAATGTGTATCGTTCAAGTGAACTTGTGCTACTGAAGTATAGACAAATGAGCCCTCCTTCTAGGAATGCGTGAGGCGATAGTAACGCATGTTATTCAGGTTTTTTTGTGTGTGTTTCCATGCATTAGAGAGCAGTTATGAATAAGCAAGATGGCTTACCCTGAACAATGATAAATTCACAAATCACTTTATTGGCTGAAGTAAAAGTATTTTGGCGATTTTTAAAGACGTACCTATCCTAAAGAAACACTGATTGCTATTGTTGTGTATTTTGATGTTGGCTTTGTCTAGATGACCTAATGATATTTCGGTACCAACGCCATCATACTAATACACAACCTTGGCAATGATTGTTTCCGTAAAATACTTTAATAAAAGGAGTTAGGAGCAGAAGTTGCTACAAACAAATATGCGCGTTTTAAAACTTATATTTCAATTAAACATACAGGAATGATGCCTAATAAAGTGATGGAAAATAAAGTCGCCTTTCACTATTACTGAACATACACTCTTCGCAGACAGCGAAGTATAGTAGCAAGAGTACGTGCAAATTGTCAAAATAAGGAGGAGGAGGAGGAATAAACGAGGAAGCACAGGGAGGTTAGCCAGTCAAAATAAATATCTTGAGAAGGAAATGTACTTAAATGTCATCGTTTGCTGTATAGACTGAGCAATATCTACTACCTAAAGCAAAGGCGTACAGTAAATATGGGTGCCGAATTTGGCCATATAGTCTTCTGTCAGCGCCTTCTTTAATTCTTTCAATGCCAGTACAAGCGCGTGCTTTTCAACGGGAGCCGTCGGTCCGCCTTACTTAAGAGAGAGGTTGTGATGCGATACTACATAATGAGTGGCGCTGCTTCCACCACACGTGCATCCGAGCGCTTTCCCACGTAGATGCGATAGATGTATCTCCAGCTCCAACACCATCGGTCTGTCGCATCTGTTCCGTCATGCTCGTTCTTTGTGGCTCCAAGCGATGCCGCAACCGCATCCCACAGCAGCGCTTCCAATGACGCTTTTCCATCAGTTGGCCGCAAGGTGTCGTGAACGACCATACGCTATCTCAAAACAACGTATGTATCGAAGAGCCAGCCTGACCAACAATAATGTAAGCACAAAAAATACAAGACGCCACCTCACGGACCTGTACACAACTAAGCAAATAATTACTTCATATGATTTCCGTCATGAGGCAATGAATCAGGAGCTCTCTCCCCCATAACCATGAAGCACACGTGAAGGCTAGGCGATGTGTGAGAGCACGAAAGGTCTGGATGACAGGGTGGTGTACAGTTTGGTCAGGCGCATTTGGCTAAAATAGAGGAGGTGTTCGTTCTGTACACTGCTCCAATAAAAAATCATGCTCGAGGGCTAACGTTTATCATTTGGAACCTTTGTTAACTGAATAACTAGAGTTATCATACACGACGATGCATAACAGATCTAAGAATAAACAATTGCAGTGTTGCTTTTTGAAGTGTGATGGTATCATATCAGTGCGGGATATTCAAAATGTTCAGCGCTATATGCAGACGATTCCTCAAACTTAATCCATCGTTTTTTTTTTTGTAGAGCGCAAAAGTGAAACCGGTCGAATATCGGAGCCTTTCAAGTTCTAGTTGCTGATACTTTTTCTTAGTTCTGTGTTGACTTCCCAATGCTTCGTGGACTGCTAAGGCAACGAAGAAACCCTAGTGATGCCGCAAACAAAGCTGCACTATTTGTGCTAGAACTTACCAGTTAGCCGATTGGACAAAAATGTTAAAGAGGCGCGAAATTTTTTATTCAGCAAGATAGACCCTGTCTTTTGGTTTTAAATAGCCAACGCAGCCAAAGTGCTCTTCAAGATCAATTCCTATTGCTTTTTAGTTGCTGTCGGGCAAAATTAGCTAGCCCTACCGAACATTTTATTTGCAATACACCTATTCTCAAACAGATGGCTGGCGTCCACGTGCGCGAGAGTACATGATATATCAACATGGATTTGTCGTTGTTGGTGATTGATGAAAACAAGGACTTACGGAAAGAAACATGTGTACACGGTGCCACAGACGGTGCCATGAGTGCAGGCACTGATTTACCGCGTTCACGGTAAATCAGTGCCTCCACACGAGACCCGATCGCAGAGGTTCGTATAGCCACGGCTTTGCAAGCTTTGCAATTGTTTGATCAGCGTGCACTGTGAAGACGATGCGTGTTACGGAGTTTCATTAGAGGTGGCGCGGTTGGTTAAGTAGATATAGAGTGCCTCAATACCAGAGTGTTTCGTACAGAATGGTGAGACTCATTGTCCACACCGCTTGCATATTAATTTAAATAGTGGAGCTATTATTGTGTAGAACGTTGCCGTATTGTATCTGGCAGTGTACATGAGTACGGCGTCTCTATGAGAGCGTTCTTAAACAAAAGCGTAAGGACATTAGGTCTAAAAGAACAGTTATCGCGTTGTGGGATGTTGCCCCATAATGGTTCAAGTACTGGACGCTGTCACTATCCTATACGAAAAAACGCTGCCATCAAGCCATCCTACGCTGATCGTAGTACTCGTCTTTTCGCTGAGCGCTGGTATTTGTATGCTTGTAGGCAGGTCTCATTACCTCGTGGCGTGCGATAATACACGTCTCCGGTGCGTGGGCAAAGGAAAAAACGCAACATTTCAAGAAAAATACGTCACTTAACGCACATATATATCGTTCAAAAAAGCAGACCCGTAATACTGATTTCCGTACGATAGATTACGTGCAAAAGGCATTAAAAACCACTAGTGTGAATTAAATAGGCACGAATTGGGTGAATCTCTATAAACAGCCGGAACGCGAGATCAGTATTTTTGTTTGGTTTGTGGTGCACCGGTCATGCACATGCTCATGCCTAATGTATTTCAAAACATAAAACACATGCTACTGCCAAGGTTGTTCAGATATGTGCGGTTTAAGAAATGGTTCGAGGAAGGCTGCATTGCGTTGCTCGGGTCCCGAAGAAACAATGTCGCTTAAATATATATATATATATATATATATATATATATATATATATATATATATATATATATATATATATATATATATATATATATATATATATATAATATATATATATATATATATATATATATATATATATATATATATATATATATATATATATAAGGGAAAGAAGTGTATACCTAAGGGCTCGTTTTTTTAATGAGATCTAACAGACAATATTTCCAAGAAATGTATAGGGGAAGTTATTGAAACCAATGGAATGTAATTTAGAGGAAAGAAAAGTGGATGAAAGAATAACCAGCTGTGAGCAGGAACCGAACCTACGACCTTCGAATGACGCGTTCGATGTTCTAACCACTGAACCACTGAGCTATCAAAGCGGCCTTCCATCCATCCAATTTTTCGGGTTTATATGTGAATTTAGACGTGGAAGTGTCAGTCAGCGCCACCTGTAGCCAAGCGGCGAGTGTGAAACACCCTTTTATGCGCTTCTGTGGCGTCACGTGGCACGTGAACTTATTAGGAGTGGGCAGCTGACGAATAGTCCCTCGTATACAACCTAATGACACCAAGTCTGCCAGTGCGAGACCCTCGTTAATGAATAGGGGAAAGAAGTGTATACCTAAGGGCTCCTTTTTCCGTGTTTTGACACAATATTAATGAGATATAACAGACAATAATGCCAAGGAATGTATATGGAAAGTTATTAGAACCAATGGAATGTAAATAAAAAGAAAGAAAAGTGGGTGAAAAATAACCAGCCGTGAGCAACCTGCTCACGGCTGGATCAGAAACACCCACCGCTTTAGAATAACATTCCAGCTTTGCAAAGCTTTGTGCCTCATGCAGCTGCTTTCCGCGTTAGTTTTGAACAGCGCAGAGCTCCGATATTTTGTTTTAGTCAATTTCTGCCAGAACAATAAGGTCACTAACCATTCAGTGATGAATGACAAAATAAGCAGCCGTAATCTCTTGGAACGAAAGCTCCGCCCATGACTGCGGCTAAGTCATTCCTTAGCCTCGGTATAATAGCAGACAATTCTAAGACGACGCCGAACACAAAATGGCTGACACGCCTAGTTTTTCTAAAGCACCAAGCATTATGAGGATCATTCAAAAAACATAAGGATGTGAGAACAATAATAAAAAATTCACGAAAAACGAAGCGTATTAACCTTGCCGGAAGTACTAAAGATAATATGAAATGTTGCATATGTCATCACCTAATGGCACATGTGCTGAGAAGATATGCAAACTCTTTGTCCGTGACATGCATCATAGCTTTACTCACCCATGCTTCATCCATTCGTTTAACAAATAAAGCTTCTATCCCTAGCTATCTGTGAGCTATGTTTAAACGAAATTTTTGTGTCGGCGTTTCTCTACAACACAGTAGTAGTACTACTGTATGTACACAAACTATCGAATACTTTGAGCCATGTCGGTTACAGGTATGGGGAAAAATCAGCCTTCTCGGCTCCTGAAAAACTTTTGGAATTTTTCCAATGGTTTTAAGAAAAAATGAAGCAAAAAACAAGGAAAGATATGTAATCAATCATGTTTCCACCTTTGTGCCCTGCAAGCCCGGTATCGTACGCCAGATCTTTTTTGCATATGGTCGGCCATACAGGGGGCAGAGTGGCCGATGTGTTGACTGAGCTTAAGAGAGCACAGAAATTCGCTCAAGAATCCGAACGCTTCGCATCTGGCATCGCCCTGCAGCACGTGTGGCTGTTCACCTCTTTTCACCGATATAGAAATTATTCAAAACATGGATCTCATATAACTGCGGAAGTGGCAGTAGTTTTCCATGTTAAACGAATGGATGAAGCATGCGTCTCACAGAAAAAGAGTTCGCATATCTTCTCAATACATGTGTCGATGGGTGATACATGTAACTTTAAATTCCTTTTGCGGAATGTTGATACAAAATGTTGATAAGCTTTTTTTCATCGTTTTTCTATTTTTGTGAATGTTATCACATTCTTGTGTTCTTCAAATTAAAACTTTCATTTGCGAGTGAGCCCTCGTCTATGTCCCTTCCGTCTTCCGTCTTCCTCGATCTGGCGCTGCAATAAAAAATGCAACCGTACCAACTAGCTACACTTTCTATACTAGTGCAATTATTTCATGTACACCGGACTTTTTCAATGTAATAACCCTTATCTTTCAGTTAGGGCAACACAGCTTCCAAGGTATCACTAAAGCCATGTAGAGCTAGGACAGTTGTTTCACAGCCTAGACAAGAAAGGTCCCCACCGGACCTTACTGCAATGTATGGAATGTTGTAGCCACCACCTGTGCACGCATGCAAGGCCTATCTTGTTTTGAAAAATGAGTATCCCCTACTCATATTGCATAGGTTTCCGCTTCATAAGCAATAACAGATACCCTTGCAAGTGGTGTGACGTTTATTTCATTAAAGAATTAGACACCCTAATGCAGCTTTCAGTTCTTCTGAGGATCGGGAAAAATAAATTTATAGATGAATAATAAACATATTCTAAACAAGTTTTTTTTTGCTACAACTGCTTTTCAACTGCGGAATATTCTAGTATATATATTGAAGCAGTTGTTAAGACATCACAGGGATTTGTCAAATACATGTGTTTGAATGGAACAATCCGATTTTCATTCAGGCCATGACAGCAAATGTACACAGATGCTTTATCGACGCAGTGAATAGTTAGCTACTTAGCTGTGTCAGTTCGAAGCTAAACAGTGCGGGCCTAACTTTTTTACCGTAGTGGCCACATTGACATCGTGCTCAAGTGCAGAAACACCGTTAAACATGGTGACAGTGATCGTTAAAAACGTGCGGTAAACCAAATGGCTTCTCCGCTCGCAATTACATGGCTTGCTTGTTAGTGTTGTTTTCATCTTGTCACCTTAATATTTTTTAGTAAGACACGTAACGCAATATTGCATATTATGTCACCTGCAGGCTATTTCCGAGACAACGTAGGTGCCTACGACAACATGTACAGATTCCTATCGTGCGGCCTTTTCGTGTTGGGCTTTATTTGGATAGCCGTGTGCCTGAGCGAGAGCCGCAAGCGCAAGGCATGGCAGCCACCTGCAGAGGGAGCGACGGAAGCCTTCGTTGTTGCTGGTCATGCCATCTACTGTAACCCTGGCTTTGTGGTCATGGAGCCTGGTTGCAGCGAAGAAGAACACACAGCATCGAACACGCCAAAACCGACTCTGGTGTGCCATAGTGGTTCATCATGAGACTTCGCGGATTAGTGGGTCGTTGAAAACAAGTTAACTCCTATCCCATTAAGTGCCTAGATGTTCAGTTCGTTAAGAAAAGAGCGACTGCATACGGCAGCATGGGAAAGCCGAGAAATACGGGTTGTTACACAATTTATTCGATACCAGGAACTCGTTCGATAAGAACCTTTACGCTTACATATCGGCTACATGAATGTCGTTCAAGCAACACGACTGTTCATGACCTTGCGAAACCATGACTGCCGTTCCCCTGTGACATACGCAATTCAGTCTAGCGCATATTTGGTCAAAGATATACAGGAGCACACTTACGAAAAGCGCATAACATTAGTGTTTGAAACTTCGGCCATGGCACGGCCTTCGTCAAATTTGTTGGAAATGCAAGCCTCAACCCACTTTAAGGGGCATCAGCCCGAGACCACAGTGAAGCTCTAACATTAGTAAACAAGTAAAAAATCTACGATATAAATATACTACGGGGGGTAGATCATACGCAAGAAAAAGCCCTTACAATGATGAGGTATTGACTAAAGAAGTCACGAGGGTTGAAGTATATAGTGCCGTACAGTATTGGCCTGTGGCATCTCCCTTTTTACGCAACGTATTGTTAATATTACGCACCTTATAGTTTCAACAATCTGACTTTCACGAGCAGTGCGCGTTCTTTCCCCTGTTTTTAAACACGACTGCATTGATTACTTGTACAGAAACAATGATAACTACAAACAGCGGCCTAATTCCATAAATTCTAGAGTGTTTTCTATATGAAGACATATTATTTTGTTTTCCTATGGAGGCGGAAATGTTGTAGGCCCGTGTGTTCAGATTTGGGTGCATGTTAAAGAACCCCAGGTGGTCTAAATTTCTGGAGCCCTCCACTACGGCGTCTCTCATAATCATATAGTGGTTTTGGGACGTTAAACTCCACATATAAATTAATCAATCAATCTTATTATTTTGTTTTCTGTCAGATGGCTGAAGTGATTACTCATCGAATTACTGCAGTTGTTTTTCAACGTTTATCGTTCTACGAGGCTCAGTGTCTGTGTATTTCCATGATAAGTGTTCTTGCTCACGATCATATCTGTGGCAGACACGAAAAAATCGCCTACATACATCTCCCAGAAAGCTATCGGAGTGTTCATGCTGCACCGCGTCCACGAAAGGCATCTTTTCAAGAGACGTAGCTACAAAATGAAGCGAGAGATTTTGTATTGGGCGTGCGCTAAACATCACTCTTTTTCTTTGGTTCTGGCATTTCAAAAAGCTATTGACAACTTTTGGTTTTCGTGAAATTCAGTCTTGTTAAATGCTGTCGCCAAGGAGTCGAATTTCCGAAACACCAAACTTAGATATTTAAGCATCGCACTGTCATGAAAGGAGCCGAAAAAGACAGATTTTTCGGCTGCTTTTATGACATTGATTAGTCTGATAGTGTTCCTGTTTGTTTTCTTCCCACACCAAAAATATTGTCTATGTACACGTGTACACCAGTAAGGCCCTGAAATACCTCACTCATCGTTCATTCAAAAATTTCAGGCGTTGAAGCTATACCGAAGGGCAATCGAAGATAGTGGTACCCATCAAAAGGAGTATCAAAAGCGTAGATATAGGACTGTTTGTCAAATGGAATCTGTTGGAAGCTAGAATATGTGCTAAAGCAGCTAAATATTGTGGCACCATCCAATGCTCCTTGAAAATCTTCACGCTTTTGGAGGTGGAACTGAAAGTGCTGTGTTTTTGTATGCTCGTTGATTTTCTTGGGGTCCATGAAAATTCCAATTTTGCCAATTTTATTTTTTTGCACAGTAACCAAACGACAGTAACCATTGGACCACCAGTGTTCTATTAGCGTAAGAGACATAACAACAGCAGTAAAACCTCTGACCTTATTGCATTCAGCTAGCAGAAGTTTGGGTATATCTCAGCATATGTGTCATGAAAGCTTTAATATTGATTTTCGGTATTCGTTCCCAATTCCTGGTGGCGTGATGATTAAGAAAATAAAGCTTTCTTGAACATAGGCTTGACATTTTTCATGCTTTCCTGAAGACACCGAACAATCCAGTGCTGGTTCGGGTGATGGTTCGGGTGAACTGATGCAGGGCTGGGCAATATCTGGATGCAGAATTACGCAATAGTATCTTAGGAATATTTCTGAGTAGCTGTATTTCTGTATCGCGATACATTTGCAAAATGTATTAGTGTCCTAGTATTTAAGTATTTCTGTGATGTAGTGATTTTGTTGAGACACAGTGCTGCACGTGAGCATCTCGTTACTTTTTTTTGTAGCGACAAATTACACGTACCTGCAAAGGAAAATGGATATTTTTTGTGCTAGGCAAAGCGAAGGCAGCACTGGTATGCTACCCAAGAACAGTGGCAAACACTGGCCAGTGTACCATCATATATTATAGCACTGGTGTGCAGTCGCGGCCACTGTTAGAGAGAACGCGGTACCCATAGCCGCTATCTTCGGGTCACCACGTGGGTGCCACGCGAAGTATTTAGGCTCGAGCGAAACCAATGCTAGAGGCGGAGTTCACTGCGCGTCGTCTGCTACAATGCGTTCCTTTTCGCACGCGTGTAATCTAGGTTTCACCGCTCGAAGCGAAATGGGAGGCACCGTAGCCGACTACGCGCCGCTAACTCAGCCGGTGGCGCTGACTGCGCTTGCGCCGCAATAGTTCGCATGGCAGCCGTAGTGCCGCTCCGATGAGCGTGGTCACCCGATTCGCGTTCCCTCTCACCATGGCCGCGACTGCGCATATATAGATTGGAATATGTAACGATGGGTATGCAGAGGTGTTGACATAGAGGTGCGTGGAATATGTATTGCATTTTTTTCCGTTTGCCCCGTCGCCGTGTTCTAGTGGTTAAAGTACATGGCTGCTGACCCGTAGGTTTGGGATGAAACCTCGGCATCGGCGGCAGCATTTTCGATGGTGGAAAAAATGCTGTAGAGTCGGGTGCTCTGATATGAGTGCACAATAAATAACCCCAATTGGTCGAAATTTCTGTAGTCTTCTGCTACGCCATCCCCCATATTTATATGGAGGTTTTCAGACGTTAAACAGCACATATCAATCAATCAATTTTTCTGCATTTTGTCTGCATGCTGTTCTTGTGTTGTCAAATGAAAGGGGCAGAATACGCGTCAAGCTACAGCTGTGTAGGTTTTTGTACTTTGGATTTGCATTATTTTAGTTTTTATTGTAAAAAACTCAAAATGCCAAATAAACTTTAACCACGAAGACAGCAGTGCTACAGCCAGATTCTTTTTTGGAGAGGGGGGGAGGATTACTTTACATTTTGTGTGAGCTTCGCATTCAGATTCACAATTAAAACGTTCCGGGCTTTCAGCTTCCCTCTCCATTGGATACACGAGTAAATAGATGACTTTCTTCAGGCGAGTTGGTAGGTGTGGGCATATACTGTCGTGGTTGCTAATATCATCAGCCTATTGTAACATCTTTTGCAGGCAGACAACATAAAGTGTTTGCGAAACGAATTCGTTCATTTCCGAGCAACTTTTTTTTTAAAAAGAAGTAAGTATTCAGCCTAAAGTTCTCATGCCTACCTATCAGCTGCAATCTTTACGAGTGGTGAACAGCTACAGACCAGGTAGAAAAGTTCAGATTGAAAAGCATTCCAATTATTTCTGACGTGTAAGCCGCTGTCAAGACTTAGTGTGCGGAGTGGCTCGTGCTTTGGATTTTTATGAAGACTAGACTCCAAAGTTTTTTGCTATGATGACTTCTGCACTTCTTTCGCCGTCAAGGGACTGAATTTATCTAGCGTCACCAGTGACTTCAGCTTTTCTCGGCGTACTGTAAGAACGTTATTAAGGCGTGACATGAGCCACTAAAATCGGGCATCTCTGGCAGCTTTTATATCAATCCTGATGCACAGCGCGTTTTCGAGCAACTGAGACGCCGAGGTTAGAAAGGAAGGATTAATGAGCTAGGGACGCAGAAAACGCGTAATAGCGAGAAACAAGATAAAAAAAAGTGCCGCCATATCCACGAAGTGAATGATGATGAGTGGGCGAAGCTCCGGAGGTAAACCTGGTAAACCATGAATCTTCCGTACATTTTGCCCACTCGATTTTATTGCAACGCTCCCCCTAGCGTACGTCGCCGCACTATATCGAACGATTACACGCGCCATATGTGGCATCATTCCTATTTTATAACACCTCGCATCTTTCATAATAAACTACACGTACCGCCATCTACTTTATAACATCTTGCATCTTTTGGACGGACGGACGGACGGACGGACGGAGGGACGGGCGGGCGGATGGATGGATGGATGGATGGATGGACAGACGGATGGACGGATGGACGAATGGATATGGCTGTACCCTTTAGATCGGGCGGTGGCTAGCGTAATACTTAGAACTGAACGAGAGGTGGCTGCATACAGGGGACGCACAGCCCACGCCTTAAGGAGCTTCGCTCCTAAAACATTTGAGATAAAGCTTAGTCGCACGTTGAGAACGTGTAGTGCATAGCGCATGTGGCATGCGGCAGGAGGTTCTAGTTTCCATTGCTACATGATGCAAGGGTAGCAGGAAGTGAGAACACTCCGGCATCACTGGTCTCTTGTAGTTTACGAAACTATTCAGGAATTAATCTGCTCTCGTACAACATACAGGTGTTTCGCCAGGCGAAGCTTAGCTCACCCAGATATAACCTGCACTCCGGTTACCTCGAATGCTCGTGACAGGCGAATGATTGAAGCCTAAGATGGTTTTGTGGGCTGCTAACGGTGAGCGCTATTAATTCAGAGGACCTCATCGCACTGCGCCCACACAAGTTAGGTGCCAAGGAAACCTGTATATGTTTTTTTTACTAAGTCATAAGGTTCAAGTTACGCTGCAGAAGAACTATCGGAACCACACATTGGCTTGAGATGCAAACTCACAACCAAAGATCAAGGACACCGAAACGAGCATCATTCTCCGCAGCTCGAAAACTGGCCCGTAAAGTTTTTTTTAATAAAGAGGAGGAGAAAATATAACATCGCTCTTACGTTTTAAAATACATAAGAAGACTTCTGTCCATAACTTATGCTCACATTACAGTGGCTCACTAAAGATCCAGTACACATGAAAGGTCCGCGGAGAAAATTCGGCTATTCAGTTTGACCAGGTTTGTGACCTTAATAGTAATTGCCCACCAGTATTACAATATGCATAAATATCACGCGCAAATACAACCACGGGTGATAGCTTGTTTATTGTGATTAAAAGTGACATGTTGAAATTGACATATTCTACCAACGCAATGTGTACGAGATATGTCATGAAGAGTATACTATGCTCTAAACTAATCTTTGGTTCCTTTGGCTGGTTGGTTCCATTTTACCCAATTTATTGCTCATGACTGTACGTTGGCAAATGGAACAACTTCTTTGAATGCACATATTTTGTGTAAGGTTAATGGCGAGCGTTACCAATTAAGAGGACCTCATCGCACTACGCCAACACATGTTAGGTGCTAAGGAAACCTGAAAATGTTTTTGTTTTTTCGTTTTCCTAAGCCATAAGGTCCAAGGTACGCTGCAGAAGAAGTATCGGAACCACACATTGCCTTGCGATGCAAACTCACAACTAAAGATCAAGGACACTTAAACGAGCGTCATGCTCAGCAACTAGAAAACTGGCCCGTAATTTTTTTTAATAAGTAGAGTTAGAAAATATAACATCGCTCTTACGTTTTGAATTAGGTAAGAAGACTTTCGTCTATAACTTATGCTCACATTGGAGATGGTGTTTGCCTATTTTATTGCCTGAAAACTGCTTTCTTGAAAATTGTGTTCTTTTAACTGTCTCTCT